GTAGTAGTAGTAGTAGTAGGAGTAGTAGTAGTAGTAGGAGTAGCAGTAGCAGTAGCAGTAGCAGTAGGAGTAGTAGTAGTAGTAGTCCCACGCCCTTTGAGGGAATTTAAGAGACTCTGTCTTTAAACATGGGGGCTGTTTCTAGATTTCTTTGCTGGGACTGGTAGAGGAATATACCAGTAAGGGAAATCGTAGCCATCCTGAGTCACATCGTCGCGATTGTGTGATATGCCAGCAGTTCCAAAGGGGTGCCTATTGGTGGGGGGGGTAACCACCTCTTTGAAACTGCTGGCAGTTTCTCTCTTTTTGTTGGCAGTCCTTTGTGTGTATTCATTGATTTCAGACTTTGAAGAGGGAAGACTCTTGTCACTCTTGATCCCTCAAAAACGGCTGATTCTGTGAACCACGACTGGCCGATTTGTCCCTGTTGGTCTCTGTGAGCCCCTCGTATCGCAAAACCCCACGAATACCTTGCCCCTCAGCGCAGGCCGGCCCTGATGGCACTTCGCTGGGTGATTGCCCCTTTGCCCACAGTGTGCAGATGGCACTAGGCTGGAAGTGAGGAAAGTCTCTTAACTGAGTTATACATTGTAGCATGTAGCAACTGCCAAAATAGAGACACAAGGCATCGCAAGGCATCGCAAGGCATCGCATCCTTTGTCCACATGGACATTCGTCATGTTTCCATTCCGCAGCCGTCTCGCCTCGTGAAACAGGTCTGAAAGGCATCAGCTACGAAGTGACCCCCTGTGTGCAGGCGCCCCACGGGCCGTGGGATACTTTTTGAGAGTTGACAGTGGTGTTCCAGCAGGTGGAGGACCTGACAGGAGTCCAATCTACTGCAGCTCCCTCGTTGCAAGATCTAACTCAAGATCTAGACCTGGAATATTCAACATGGCCTGAGTTGAAGAGATTCAACATGGCTCAACTATGTTCAAAACCTCGATTTCTATAGGATTTCAGACTGTGTTTGTTTCAAATGCCAGAGGATTTCTGGAGCGACGCATTGATCTCTTGCCATGTGGGAAGAACATCGTGCCTGGCACAGTTCCGCTCCGGTGGGGTGATGGCTCCAACAGCTCCATGTCTGAAACAGGTCGACCGGTCTATGGGAAACGACCTCTTAAGCCACAGCTTCAGCTCCAAAGACATAGAAAAGAAGCGTTTGTGCTGCTCTACAGTGAAGTGTGCCACGCAAGGTGGTTCCAGCCATGCAGGACTATTAGCTGCAAATTAGACCCTTTGCTGCTCAACAGGTGGCCGCGGCCAGGGGTTCTCCCGAGTGGACTTCTTACCCTCCTTGACCTCCCAGGAGACGAAGCCGCAGTGGCTGATTGAGGAGGGAACAGTTGGTGACCGGTGTCATGGCGGTGACCGGAGTATTGGCTGGCTCGGTCCGTCACGGGACTCCCGGATCGAGGCCTCCGCCGTTTGGTCGGTGTTTGGGCGGAGGTATCTGTTGCAAACTTCCTGGCATGCGGGGTACTTGTAGGAGAGCGCTGCAAGATGCAAGGGTTGGCATGCAGGGTTGGCATGGAGGGTTGGCATGTGATAACTTCTCACGCTTCTCGTGCCAAAGTGTGGCTAGCTCCCCGCCTCCAGCTTTTCGCTTTACTTTCACACTTTCCACAGACGGACGGCTCGCATGATTCCATGTCACGGTTGCTGGTCAAAAAATGTGAAAAGTAAAGACATGTAAACACCCATGAGGATAGCACTGTAAGATTTGGATGCTGAAGTTACATAGTCTGATTATTTGAGGAGCCTTTTTGCATTTGGAGGCAATCTTTTCGAAAGAGAATGGCACAGCATGGCACAGCTATGTTTGGGTCTCCTGGGTGCATCCGACTTACCTTTGTTTTACACACATCAATTGTACACGGTACCGTTCTCCATTCTGAGATGTTCGTTCGCGGGCTTGATTGATTTGGAACAATGAAAGTAAGAACCCATCGCAGCGAATGCGGACTTCCTTTAAACGCATCGGAGCTCTGTTGCCGGCTTCGCACGGCCAAACATCGTTGTTGTTCGTCGTTTTTTTTTTTTTTTCCGTGTCGTTTTTTTTCATCGCGTATGAGATCGCCAGGAGTATGGCGGAAAGATGCCCTGTGTTTGCCACAATGGCGAAGCCCACGTGGAGACCGCTGAGATCCTGGCGGGGCACCTCTTCTCTCGGGTGGGGGAGGGCATTTTTGCGGCATTGGTGTGTTTGGTTGGATGGGTGGGGAAGTTGATAGGAGTATAATGGAGTATACAATATTCTTTACGAGAGATACTGTAATTCATTATTGTGTGTTGTGTTGAACGTGAAGTGGTGTGCTGATGGTCAAAAGGACGATGTGGGTTCGTTCCTCCAGAAGGTTCCACTGGAGTTGCCAAGAGTTTGCCTGTTGGTGTGAGCATGTGTGACCGATGTCCACAGGAACACATTCGACACGAGCAAGACAATCTCGAAGCCAGTCCCCACTTTTCTCAAGGTGTCAAATGATGCATGTCTCGAACCACTGTGGGCAGAGACTCTCATGTGCTATCAGCTTGGAAACTTGACAAAGCAGGTGTAAGAGGAGGCCCTGGTTCAAACATCAGATGCCATGACTCACGAGGGAGGTGCTTTTGAAGAGAGAGGTGTCATTGGCATCTGCAAACTGGAAGGCTATGTTATGGCTCACCAATGGCAATGGAGAGATGGAGAAGTGGACGTCTACCACGTACTGTATCTCTACACGATGAGGACCCGAGATGGTGCCATTGTCTCCAAGTCGTTTAGACCAATACCATCCAATACCAATGAGAACAATTCTGTACCGGCCCCAGGCAATGCCGGCTATGCAGGCTATGCTAACTTCACAGGGTGGATGACAGCCATCGAAGAGAAGCGAGACTGTTGCAGCTGATGGTTCTCAAGGACGATGATGCTAAACCTCAGAAGGGCGACGCAGCGACAGAGCCTGAGACACAGCGACAGGTCATCGTGATCCGTTTTTCAGTGGTCATTTTCTGACCAGATTTGCATAGGGTTGTCCTGCGTAGCTTCCCTCATTCCGAAGATGTTCACAGATGTTGACGTTCTTTGTAAGTCTTTTCAATAAGGTAAATGGATGGAATGAGAGGTCGTTAGACCTCATGGTTGAACATTGTGGAAGTTAACCCAACTTATTTATACCTTGGCCCTCACCTTTCCTTCAGGACCTATGGCGGGTTTGGAGTGTTGCATAAATCTCTTCATTGAAATCATGCGCTCCATCTGCACGATGCGTCAAACTCCGGCTCACCAGGCCTGTTCTTAAAAGAACATGCCTTGTGTAGTAAACCACACCACCAACCCTTTGGGGTGCAGTGACGTGCAGTGGTTTCTTAGCTTCAGCAAACAAAACTCAACCGTGTCAGTTTTATGTTCAGACGAAGGATGCAGGACTTTTCTTTCACGGTGTTTGGTGTTTGGCAAAAAGGCTCCCGGCATACAGCATGATAGGCCATGATAGGTGATAGGTGAGCCCAGCCGCGATCCACTGATCGGAGGCTTGGATTGACCGGGAGTTCCCCACGGCCTCGTCGTTGCAGCCGCCGGTGGAACTGGCGGAGCAGGCCGGGATGCGAGTCAAGAGCTACAGAAGGGGTTGTTCATGTGGCACACCGGAATACCATTGGAGAAGACGTGAGAAGACAAAAGAGAAGCATAGTTTGCTTCATGTTTTTGCTTCCTCACAAGTGTTCTTCTCAGTGAAGGTGGAGAAGGTACAGCCAGCTAAGGAAGACCAAGCAACTTCTGCCTTTCCAGTATTTTTTTTCCTGCTGTGCAGGTGAAGGGCTTTGGAGTCTTCCCTGCCATAGCTCAGCTGCTTGGATGGGGTGAAAAAGGACTGGGACAGCCACAAAACTAGATGTGCCTTTTCTGTTGAAAGCAACAAAACTGTGTTCTTCAGTTGTCCAAGCATGTCAGCTGTCCGATGTTGGAGCACAGGCTTTCTTGTTAAAACAACATTGAACAACAAAGTCGCTTTTGGGCAAGCGACAGGTTCCCCATACTGCGAAGAGTGATGTTCAAGTTTCCAAACAAGAATCCAAGGACCAGAAGAGGACATCGGTCGAAATTCACTCAAAGAAACAAGGAATCAGCCCAAACTCCTTAACTTGATGTGTATGAACTGGGTCTATACCGGATGTTACTACGGGGTCCACTGATTCCAAGCACCCGGGTGGAACGATTCCTCTGTAGTAGTAGTATCTCTCTTTGTGGCATGGCCATAGACTAGAGGTTGTCCAGACGGAACTTTCCATCCTATGTCCTTGGAACCCTGGCCAAGCTCGATGAGGTTCACCAAGAACACAGACAGCGCCAAGGACGAGGAGCTACGCGAGGAAACCCAGGCCGCGTGGGCTCGCTGTCTCACGGATCTGAGAAGATATGAGCTGCTTCAAGACTGGCAAAGGAAAGATGTAGTTCTAGTAGATGATACGCTGCCAGATCTTAAGAGAGCATCCCTGATGACATTTGCACTAGGAAATATCACTTCATATTACTTCTATCTATTGTAGATAAGGATCACATACACGTAACATAGAATCACTATATATACTATATATATATAATTGTATATTTATTTAATATTATATATATACACATGACATAGTTCTATAGTCAATATCACTGTAGCTTAGTGCGTTTAGTTACTTTGTTTGCCGGTTTGTTGGCTTTTGTCTCCTTGCTTGCTCCCAGTCAAAATATTTACAGGCTTCATCGCTATGTAGAAGCAGATAGCCATTTGTGGTCCAAAGCTATTGAATTACGACTGTAGTACAGGATTGGTTGGCAGCTCGACTCATCAAGAAAGCAATTGCGTGAACACATTTTTCGTTTTTGTTCACGCATGGGTTTCTACGGACACCGAGAGGCACAGGAACCGAAAACACATCTCACCCACCGGATTTTATTTGTTTTCTGCTAGATCTGCTAGTGGGAGGGACACCAAAACACCAACGCAGTAGCCAAAAGTCCCTGCAGCCCACCATCCGAATCCGCTAGGTGCCAACCTGCTTCAAGGAACTGGAAAATCCACACCTGCAAGCATTGCACACACCCACAGGTATTGAACCCTCCTCGTGGGAAACACACTTTTTTGTCAAGATTGTGAACCCCATCCGGGAACCAAAGATACATCAAATCATTCTGGAGGATCTTGAGGCCTTTATTGCCTGGTGGTGTTTCCAAAAAGTCTAGCTCCATTCGTTGACTCTTCCACGTCCGAGGAGTCAAGCTGGAAACGTCCTTGCGCGCCCTTTCGAAGCGCTTAGAGTCAGCTGGGGCATATCTGCAGGGCGCCGAACCTGGACTGCTCGACTGCCGCCCGGCGGAGTTGCATTCGTCTGTCGCGGCGTCGCTTTGGCCGAGGAAGCTGGAAAAAACATCATAGCACTGGAATCTGAAGGTTTTATTAAGATGGACTCTCTGAATTTGAGAATGGAGTCCCCGATCATCAGGTTGTTTTTGGATGTTTTTGGATCCTATGTCAGGTCTGAAGTTGGATCTAGGATATGTCATGTAGTCTCGAGGGTGGTAGAGAGGGGGGTAGGTGTTGTTTAGAACATGAAAGGGACTCCCAAAGCCACTGTCATGGGTGTTCCAGCTTGAGAGACTCACTTGGTAGGATATTCCTGGCTTTGTCTCAGTTTGTTTTGTTGGGGATACCCTGGAAAACTCTAGGACCATGCCGACCTCCACACGGACCGGGTTAATTTGCAGTAGCCCAAATTGGCGCTTGTGTGTTTTTTCATGATTGTTTCAAATGTGAGTGACACATAAGTGTAAATCCTATTCCAAAAATGTAGCTTGTGGCCTTGTGGCAGCTGTATATGACTTCAGACATGACTGGTTGAACATATATACATATTTGAACATGATTGAATGCTTTTGCCGACTTCGAGCACACTGCCCATACCATGATCTAAACCTGGCCCCAGCAACATCTTTACACCCGTCCAGGGGGCCCTGGACCAGACATTCATGGCGATCCAGAATTGAATGGCTCTGTTATAACGGATCATGAAATGAATACTTACAACATTAAACAATCCTACCTACGATCTTGTAGGTGTTTGATGATTTGATCCACAGCGCCACACATGTTGCGCAGACTTAATGAATCAACATGAATCAACATACATTTGACAGCTATCCACTCACCATTGGACACATTCAGTAGCAGACACTCGGCTCACAAAGTTGGAGTACAATGTTTAGTGAACTCGGTCTGTGGCCGCTAAACAAGGATCGAAGCTCTTCGTGGACAGGTCGTGTAGTTTATATGTCATGCACTGGAGTGAGACCATTGCACCTGCCCCACCGGACGATGGCAGCACGCTCTCAAAGACCTGTGTGTGTTTTTTGCACCCCAATCCCCAGAGTTGTGTCAACGGTCAAGGGTTCCGGAGTAATTATCGGATAGGATCGGGATATGTGGATATGTGGGTTCCCTTTTCACTCACCTCTGAACAACTGAAGGAACTTGATGTCAACCCTGGCAAGTCCTGGCTACCATAAACAGACAGAGGAAACCATTGGCACCATGGGTTATGTTGCACATGTATATGTACATATATATATATATAAGTTGCAGTAGCTAGCTGTCCCCTTCCACACCTTCTCCCGCCATAGAAGCATTCCCAGGCGACATTCTACCGAAGCTCTATGTGCTCCTCCATCAATGGTTCAGTCGTCGCCGTGCCTGGTGGTGCCAAGTTATTCTAGTGCCAACTGGGTGCTTAACAACCCTTGGAGTTGGACCTTACAAGATGTTTCCTTTGTATTAATCCTTCCTTTTGCAGGGTTCAGTCTATCTTCGTGTGGTAAATGTTTTGGAGACCACTGATTTGCCTCGGCAGATCCAATCCAATTGTCTCTATTGGTCCTGGGTTTGGGAGGCTGCCAGGATCATACCGAACGGACCATTCCAGCCGTCCCTGACAGTGGCGAGCTGAACATGAGGGGGAGCTGGACGTTTCAGTGCAAACACCGGCAGCAACGAACAGCAGCAGGGAAAGACATGGCCGACGCTGCGTTTTGCATCGTTTTGTCATCCTTTTTTGAACGGCTCATTTTCAAGAAAACACAGGATCCCCTCCTTGGCGGGTTGGGTCCTCGTGGGGTCGGAATTTCTGAAACTTACATCACTTGCTTGTGTAGTGACTTTGACTATGCCAACTGGAAGCAAAACTGAACATAGACAGTGATAGACAGGTATCCTTTCCCAATGAGGTGCTCTCACTGGCTACGGCACACTACAAGAACTTCAAGCTTGAAGATCTGAAAGATGGAGAGGCCGAGAATTGGATGCTGCATGTCGCATCTGGATGTTTTAGCGGTCGCAGACCTCGAATAGCTTGAAAGTCAAAAAAGATAGACGTGTTCTTGGATGTTGGATGTTGTTAGTATTTGGAATATTCTTGGATGCGCTGGATGAGAGATGATGAGAGATGTGTTCGAAGTTACCATCATGTGATTGATTTGTTGCTTGTCGGCTTCAGCCATCGATCGTGTCCCCCTTACCTCGCATGCGCAAATGGTGGAGAAAGGCGCTTTCTTCGATCCTCACTAGGCCTCTCGGATCTGACAGTGGTAACCGGAGCTCTGGTGCAGAACGATGCCAAGTCCGGGGACATCTAGCGAGGAACTGGAGGAGTGCGTTGACAACATGGAGCAGGAGGCAAGGGGGACGACGGCGGTGGCTGGAGACGAAAGGCGAGAGTGGACGGAAGCCGAATGGGCTGAGTGGAATAAGAAGTGGTACTGGGGGCAGAGCTGGATGTCTGGCTCTCAATGGTACGCTTCTGGGGAAGCAGGTCAGCGTGATGGAGCAGCTGGGGCGGCTGCTTCGACCACGTTGCCGGCGTCTGGGGTTGAGCACTCAGACCCGTGGCACGCTCGCAATGGCGACCCGTGGTCAAGAAGGACCTCGACGTCTGGAGCACCTCCGGCAGTCGATCACGGTCGTCAAGGCGGTTGGTGGCAGTCAGGACACTACGCCAAGGGGGACTATAGTGATCCTCCGGCGTGGCCCGGATGGAGCAACTATAGGTTGTGGAGGAGGGCCATTCTTCGGTGGAATCACAACACCGACGTGAGCGTATGGAGGAGAGCCGAGAAGGTTCTCAAGACGCTTGAATGGGATCTTCAGGCCAAGCTCGATCATGTTTCCGAGACCACCTTGGCCAGTCCGGCCTACATCACTGAGATCCTGGGGGTCCTGGATGTGCTAGCAGGAGAAAGAGAGGATTCTGAGAAGAGGGGAGCCGTTCGAGCAGCCTTGTTTGAAGGCAACAGACGAGGCGATGAGAGCTTAGCGCAGTACGCGCTGCGTCGGGAGTCGCAGTTTGAAGTGGCCAGTCGATACATTGCCATCCCGGAAGAGATCAAGGGCATCCTTTTGGAGGAACAGTCTGGCCTTTCGAAGCAGAGCATGCAAAGTCTCAGGGTCCTCACCAAGGGGCAGCACTCCTACTCCGAGGTGAGAAAGGCACTTCAGGTACTTGACCTGGACGAGGAGAGCATTGTGAAGCCAGGCAAGGTGAACTATTTCGGCGACACCATGGAGGAAGAGATCATGGACTCCGACCTGGACGATGAGGAGGTCTTTGCGGCCCTCGAGTACCAGGAGGTTGATGAAGATGCAGCGATTTCCCTCATGGCTGATCTACAGCAAGACCGACGGCGGACTTGGAAGGAAAACAAACTTTTGAAGGCTGCCCGTAGGAAAGACCGAAGACATTTTGATGACAAGAACTCACGGCCATCTCGACCTCCGTATCGCCGAAGGTTGTCCATCGAGGAGCTCAAGAAGGTGACCCATTGCAGCAATTGCGGCAAGAAGGGACACTGGCGAGAAGACTGTCACGAGGCTTCAACCAATGGTGACAAGACTCATAAGGACAAGCATCCCAAAATGGCAGCTTTTGCCTACCTGGGAGTGTCCGACCAGGGGAACGACTCCGTTTTCCTCGTCGCGAACTTTGGCAGCTACCAGACCATGGAGCAGGACTGTTTCTTAGAACTTGGCCCGGGGCAGGCAATTGTGGACCCGGGCGCTTCGCAAGACCTCATCGGACATCCCAGTTTTTTGAAGCTTCAGGAAAAGCTTCGTGAAGTTGGTCTGAAGACCATCAAGCTGGAGGAGAAGCCAGCTAAGGCCTCCGGAGTGGGTGGCACTGCTAAGACGCTCTTCATGGCCTTGGCACCATGTATCCTGGGGGGACAACCAGGAATAGTGAAGTTGACCGTTGTGGAAGACAACATTCCACAACTTTTGTCGATAGGACTTTTGGAGCATGGTCACGCCGTTATCGATACGCAGGCAGACCAGATTTTCTTTAAGAAATTTGACAAGGTGCAAAGATGACCAGAATTCCGTCTGGCCACCGCACTTTGAGCATTGCAGACTGGGATGGAAGCGAATTCCCGGTTCCTCCGCAACTGACGGAGAAGTTTGGCCTCACGTCAGGGGCTTTCAACGTTCGACCATCAGCTCCTGAGGTATACATGGCTGCGAGTGCGATTCTTTCAGATAGAGCAAGCTTCTTTGGACAAGTTGGTGTTTGTGAGGAGATGTTGGATTCTTTTGAGATTTCGTGCAGTCTTCCACTAGGCAACTTTCCTTTTTTCAGTGATTTTGAGACGCAGTCAAACGACGTTTTCTTTCGCACATCGTGGCTTGTGAACGGCTGTGAGACGTGCTTGCTTGAACGAAACGCCAAACGTGAGAGACCGCAGGCTTGCACTTACAGAAGAGATGTGTTTGAGCTGACAGAATGTCCACTTTCATTTGATCAGCAGCATTGGTCAGAGTCGCTAATAGTCAGTCTTTTTACTCGACATGAAGTTGTTTTGACACGTAGCGATGAGCAAGTGGTGCTTTTCAGTGACGACCGGTCCGTCGCCGCCTCAAAAGAGATCGAAGACTTACTCCGCGATCGCACCAGTAGAGCCCAATACTCATCTTGTGATCTTCAGCATGGCGGGCGTGCTCAATGCCAGGGTGAAGAAGTCGCGCATTCGCTCGGAAGCGGACCGAGAACACCTGGAGATGAGCTGGCATCACTTTGCTCGAAAGCTGCTGATCTTGAATCGGGGCCCGGGAGCTTTGGAGATTCTCGGCATGAAGATGCGTCCAGGGGACTTCACGACGTCGTCTCCGGGACCCTCCGATCCGTCCGGGATGACGCCGTCCTCTCGGAAGATGTTGGACAGCTGCAGTCATCCCAAAGAGTTCGAGACTCGAGGCGCCAATCAGCATGGAACGTGGACAAGGTGCTCACTGTGCCAGAGCAAGACTGGCTACCAAAAGTACGGCAAGAACAACCCGCCTCCGGCGGCCAGAAAGGCCAAGAGCGTGGCAGTCGAGACCTATGTCTCGGCACCATCCACGCCAGCTCCGAGAACTCCTCTCCCGGTGACCTCAGGCCCCGTGCCCTCCATCATGCCGGATCTCGAGACGGCGTTTCAGGGTCAGAATCAGCAGCTGGCACACAACACGGCTGCCATCATGGCCCAGGTGATGACACCGGTGGTGGAGGGCTTTCACCAAGCACTCCGAGTTCAGGCAGAGGAGGCCCAGCGGATCCAAGATCGACAAGAAGTGCAAATGCAACAGCTCTTCTTGACTCAGCAGCGCATCATGCAGCAAACAGATCCGACTCGTCAACCCGGAGCGGTCTTTCCGGCGTTGAGTCCGGAGGAGATCCACCGCATGATGGCACAGTCATTTGCCATGGCACAGCGACATCCTCTTCCAGAGGAGGACGAATTGGACAGCCTTCCGGGGGGACCTCCGGACCACATGGGCTAGAGCTGAGAGAGAGAGCAGCCACTGGTTTCACGTCATCATCAGCTGTAGGAGACTTTAAGTGTACAGAAGACCCTTCTCACACTTGGCTGGTGATTCCTTGTAGCGCCACGTCTAGTAAGTTTCTGAGCCGACGGGAAAATATCGACTGTTTTGTGGGTAAGCAGAAGTTTCGTGGAGGTTTTCGAGACGTGTTCATCGTTCGTGACTCGGAGTTGGTGGATGATCTCGTGTGTAGTGATTTTCCCGAAGGGGCGGAAACGCACCTGAGTCGAAAGCAGAAGAAGGCACTGTTGAATTCATTAGATGTTTTCTCCACCGAATTCGTTGGTGGGCCAATGAGCCCGAGTGAGATGGTAGGACTGAAACAAGTAGACCATCAAAAGAAAGAACAAGAGCCTGAGAGCCATCAAGAAAAACATCAAGAGCCAAGGGACCATCAAGAAAGACATCAAGAGCCAGAGAGCCTTCAAGAGGAGAAAAGAAGCGGATCATTTGATCTCGTCTCTCGACCACGGCGTTCGAAGCGATCGATCGAACCTAGCTCGCAAGAGCTTAGTGCCCTAGGAATCGTAGACGTTCAACCTAGCAGCCATGGGATGGGAGCATCAAACGTGATGAAGGTCATGGAGATCTTCACCCCCCCGAGAGTAGCCACTGAGGCAGTGAAGGCAGGCTTGGCGGTCACGAAGCCCTCCAGCTTAGACCTCACGACCGGCTGGGATGCCCTCAAGCCTGAGGACAGAAAGCGGATGTGGGAAATTCTAGAGCACCAGAAGCCAGACATTGTCATCATGAGCCCCGACTGCAAGATGTTTTGTCAGCTCATGAACGTCAATCTGAGCCGCATTCCAGTTGAAAGACTTTCCAGAGATCAGATGAGAGCCTTGGTGATGTGGCACATGTGCATTCAAGTAGCTGAACACCAGCTGAATCACGATCGTTATTTTTTCTTGGAGCAGCCGGGCGGTGCTTCCTCATGGAAGACGCACGCAGCAGAGTGGCTTCTGAAACAAAAAGGAGTTCATCATTTCCTGTTTGATCAATGTGAACTTGGTTTGCAAGTAAGTGATGCTGGTCTCTCACGAAAGACCACGGGAGCGGCCACGAATCACCTTGGCATAGCCTTTCTGCTGTCCCAATATCAGTGTTCTGGCAGTCATCAACACATCCAGCTGGAAAATGGGCTCCCTCACAAAGCACGCATATATCCTCCGGATCTAGTGCACAACATTGTTCAGGGGATTCTGCGGGGATCACAGGAATTTGTTGGAGCTGCCCAACCTGATGACCTGATAGATGAGGAGGGAGAAGAAGGACTTGATCTTGATCCTCAACCTCGAACTCCAGGAACCCTTCAGAGAGATCAATCGGAAGTCCTGTCAGAAGAGCAGAAGAAGAAGGTGATGCTTATGCACCTGAACATGGGTCACCTTCCTCGGGATAAGATGCTGACCATGCTTAAAGCAGCAGGCGCTCGAGA